GCTGCCGTTGTCAGGGAAACGGCCCCCTCCTTTGCTGCTCTGGCTCTGAATCAGAGCAAAGCTACTGCTTTTAGGATTTCTGGCTTTTCATAGTAGTTATTCCGTTAAATTTGCGAAATTTGCAATTGAACATTGTGTTATGACACAGTTAAACGTTTTTAAACACCATTAGTGAATAAGTTTTGAATTAGTATGTTTTTGAAACCCAAAGATTAGTACAAAAAGCTTTGCTTTTCTTTTTAAATCTGCTGCTTATTTTGTGAGTCCATTATTGTATCTCTGATATATTTCATAGCTGTTTGTGAGAATTTTTTTATGTTTTTATTTTAGTTACAAAAGCCGTTTTTCAAACATTTAAATTAGAATCTGTGTTAAAAGTGCTTATTGATTATAGACTTCGTCTAAAAAGAAGGGAATTAGGCTGTAAAAGTATTATTAAGTTAAACTACCCAATTCACATGCAAGTGGCGACTTTTTGTTTTTGTTTTGACTACACGCCTGACCTTGCTGCTGCAGATGCACGCAGCACAGGAGACTGGTCTAAAATGTGCTCCAATTCATACTGACTTCATTTGAAAAATGCTGCAATTATTTTAAATTAGTAAAATATATGCTGAGATAAATGCATAGATAATTAAAAACACAGTACAAAAGTACACATATTTTAAAGTTTAAAGGTTTTTAAGAGATTTGAGTCTTGTTTTTTATTAAGAGAGAGTTTCTGGTCTTAAAATGTCATCATTAGTAAGATAATAAGTAATCTTTTATTTACATAGCGCTTGGGAAAACCCAGAGCGCTCCAAAATTGTTTTGACTTTAGGGAGAAAAACAATCTCATTCACAATCTCTGTTGTTTTTAATTTGACTATAAGGTTGTTTTCCAGAACCAAGGGCACACACTGTACAGGGCCACTGGACTGCTGGAGTGGACACAGAGGGATCAGAACAGTGGCCCAGAGTAGACACCATCCAACCAGCCGCAGATCGTAAAGGCGACATAGCTACCTCCGTGTGCCCCTCCCCCACTACAGGCCGATGGTCGTAGGTGGCAGTGAGACCGGGGCCACAAAGTGAGGTTTTCTGTAGGCAGTGGTGGGTGAGTTGTTTTGCAATCTGGAAGTGTGCCCACTTTGCTTGTTTACATCACCACAGTGTGACCTTTGAGACCTACAGGTGGTTCGAGGAGTCTGGAGACACAACCCCAAAATCCACACACACACACACACACACACATTCATACACTCACACATTCACATTTACATATAGATACATGAAAAAGCAGAACATGAGAAAAAAGCATTTTAAAAGTTTACTCCAATGTAAACACATATTTTTAATTGTCTATCACTTGAATCAGTATTTTTTGAGACCAGAAATGTTCATTTGAATTCTATATTGTCATGGACATAATTGACCTCTGTCCTGACACTTTTGATTTGTTGATTTTGTGCTGTGTGAAGTAATTACATTGATTAGGATTAGATCTGATAAAAACACAAATTAGAGAAGTAAACTGAATCATTGCGCTTGCTTTTTGTCTGAGGGACATTAGCAACAGCATGAATAGAAATTGTGTTAAAGTAGAATCAAAGTGATTTAACCATAGAGAGTAACTACTGCATAACAAGCTGTGTACAGGAACTGAGACACTGCACCATTGACCAGAAGTGCATCGCAAATGACCTGATGTGCTTCAACTGAAAAGACTGTATCTGGAGATCTGATGTGCATCTGGAGTGACCAAAACCATGGCTTGGACCCTACTGATGTCCAAGATGACCTGACCTGATGACGACTGAGACCTAACCTCACCCTCAGAGGACCCTGAGGACCTGAGAGAGAAAACTGGGGAGTGATGTTTATATTTTTGAAATCATACATTGATGAGTGCTAAATGAGAGAGATACTCATGATTCTTTCTTTTGTTTTTGTTTGTCCCTAGCTTCTGGACATCTGATGATCTATTGGACACAGCCATTTGCAGAACAAGAACCAGCCAATGAAAACGTCTATTGCCGATGCTATTGCTACAACCAGAACCTGTGACCAAATGCAATATAAATGTTAAGTATTCAGACATCTGACAGACAAAAACTTTGACTTTTTTAGTCTGGGAGACTGAGCAACTGTTAAAATGTTTTAAAATGATAAAGTATGAGTATTGTAGCGTTTTAGTAGATGTTAAATAGTAGTAAAAAAGTAAAATTGTCCTTTCTTTGTTTTTCATAAACACATTTCCACATAAGAGTTAAAATAGTACCCTACAATGTTATCCTTTTGATAGATCAGCTATAATATTAGAATCAGAGTTATGTTACAGCCATTAAAAGTGACAGAAGTCACAAATTAGGAATATGCCTTTGCTCAAGCTGCAGCCGAGCTTTTGAGTTAAAAAATAGAGTAAAAATAGAAATAGATAAACGCATCAACCATAGATGCTTTCAAAAATAGAGATTATTTGTAGCCAGTGCTAATATCAAATGGTAAAGGGACCATTTCACAAACATTTACTTAAAAAATAGATAAAGTTAATTACAGTTTTATTAGATACCTTCCAAATTCACTTGTGTTCAAACATCTGTGAATGTTGACAATACAAAAAGTTCATGAAAGTAGCTTAGATCAATGAGATAGATTAGCACCAACAGAGATTCAAAAGCATTTAAAAGCATTTTGATGTATTTGGGTATAGCCCACTGTCGATTCATCAGAACAGATTAGAGAATCAAACACCATTGTAGACCCCAACCCCAAACCTGCTAAAATAGATTAGCTCTTGTAAGGATAATACTAATTTGATTAATGATGTACATTCATCCCAAATTGCCTGATAGGAGGAAGTGACAGCATTTCCTGGTTCAACAAATGTATTTGGAAAACTGACCGCCATAATAATGTTCATATTAACCATTTGTCTTTCTGTGTTCAGTTTTATTCCTGAGAATGTAGAATAGACATAGAGCAAAATCCCACTAATAATAAGCCACTGATAATGAGAGTATAAAACCATAGAGAGATTGGTTAGATTAAAATGTATGTTTAAGAATATGGCTCAATAGAAGCAAATATACAAACATATTTGTGAATAGATTAGAATAGTTTTAAACTATAGTGAATCATGAAAGTAAAGTACACAGTCTAAGATTGAAAAGTGAAAATAATAAAGTGAAATAAGTGAAGTGTAAACAATCAGTATTAGAATAAAAGTATAGAGTAATAAAAGTGAAATTAGCTTCTAATTTGAGACTCAGCTCGTTTTTGTCTGTGTTTTGACTGAATCTGCTGAGTTCTTGTGTGTCCAATAGTGTTTGTTTGTTTTTTATTTTTGATTTGTTTTTTGTTTGTTTATTTTTTTTCCCAGGATAGAGGATAAAATCCACTGATATTGATTTGATGATTATGAGTTCAATGCATACATTTTCTTTGTTTTTAATAATTTTTTAAAGTTTTTTTTAGAATTTTTTTTTTTTTCTTTTTCCACTTTATTGATTGATCAAATTGAGTGATCACATGTGATTATGTGATCAAAGGGGAGGGTGTTAGTATTAGATAGCAATATGGCCTACGTGCAGGACTGTACAAGGACTCTACAAGGACTCCATGTTATGACTATGATGTGACTGTCTCTTTGTGACACGTATGTCTTTCGATGTGTGACGTGACAATGACTATATAAACTGTGTACTGCCTTTATTCTGTCTGAGAGAAAGAAACAGAGTAAACCAGTGGAACTTGAGAGAAACTTAAATAAACTTCCAGAGTTTGGCACACCACGATCCATCTCTGTCTGCCTGAATCCTGACAATTACAAAAACAATACATTTATATTTATTTATAATGAGTATTTTAATATTTTTTTCTGCATTCAAATACATTGTAAAAGCTGTTCCCTCATCTATGAGTAAAGTAGAAACAGCTTTAAATCAAATGTTTTTTGTTTGTTTTTGTTTTGTTACTCTTGTTATTTTACAGTTGTTGTATTTAGTTAGAAATAAAAAGCTGAGAAGATGCCCATCTGTCCCTGTATTCCTGGCAGTGTTTTGTTGTGTGGAAATTTACTGGACTTCAGATTTCTATACAGTGATTAACTTTTATGGTCCACCTTAACTCTCGGCGCATTGAACACTATGTACCTATGGCCAATAAAAACAAAACTGAACGTTTATGGCCTTAGTAGCAGATATTTACTTATTATCTTGTTATTTGTAAACTCTCAGGTGAAGAGGAAGAAATACAATTAAACAAATTAAACAACATGGAAACTTTGTCAGATTCCTGCATTATTGTGGATGACTAACACATGAGTCCTGTTTGTTGTGTAACTATTACATTATCTTAACGAGTCATGTGCTGTAACTGTCATCATTATGTTGTCAGATTTAGCATAAAAACAATCACACGAGTCAGTGACAGCACAAATCATGATATGGTCTCAATAAGTCTTCTCTATAGTATAATTACATTAGGCGACAGTAAAGGTTCCCCATGTCAACTTTTATCGAGACCAGTGCAAACATGAAGTCATCAGGTGATGTAGAAACTGACACAAAACAAAAAGTGGCTTTGAAGATGGCAATTGCAATTTGCATCCACAAACCACAGAGTGTAAACAGTACGTGCGCTTCATGTCTGCAAAAAGGCCCCAGTCTCCCCCCTCTCTTTCTCTCCCCGCCCCCCTCTCTCTCCCCCCTCTGACAGGACGTGGGTGTTGACGTCTGTGCCTCTGGCTTTCAGCCAATAGGGGCGGAGCTTTTCACGTCAGCACGCCTCATTCACAACTCGCAACTATATAAAAGGCGCCAGAACTCAGAACGACACAAGTGAATAAACTTCAACAAGAAACTGAGAAGCAACAACTCTTAAGAAGCGAAAGGATTTCTGCGCTTTTTGTTTGAAATTGAACAAAGGACTTTGGTCTAACTTTCAAAAGAACTTCCCATCGCTTGCGGTGTATGTTTTTGGATTTACTGCGCTATTCCCGCTGTCCTACTATGGTAATAATGGAGGTCCCGACCATCGACTGTGCGTCTCTCCGCGGCATTCTGGAGGACGAGGTCCCGTACTGTCTGCTGCTCGACTGCCGCTCTTTCCTCTCCTTCAACTCGTCCCACATCGCGGGCTCCTGTAATGTGCGCTTCAGCACCATCGTGCGGAGGAGGGCGAGAGGAGGCCTGGGGCTGGAGCACATCGTCCCCAACGAGGAGACGAGAGGCCGCCTGCAGTCCGGAGACTACCAGTGTGTGGTCCTGCTGGACGATAGGAGTGTGGACCTAAGCCAGGCCAAGAAAGACGGCACTCTGATGGTGGCTGTCACCGCGCTGTGCAGAGACCCATGTGGAGCACCTGTGTTCATTCTGAAAGGTATGAAATGAGGCACACTGTAGTTTGATTGTAGAACAGTCTTGCACTGTTGTAGACCTAATTGTAGAGTTCAGCTGTCATCTCAGCAGCAGCTGCTGTGGGTGTAAACACTGTTTCTAAATAGCCCCTCTTGCAGTTGTCGTCTATTTTGAGGCCAGCCTTTAAATGTTTGCGTTTTTCTATTCTGTCATCTGACCTTTATTTCCCCTAACTTTTCGCAGGTGGATTCGAAACCTTTTCCACTGAATTTCCAGAGATGTGCACCAAACCCAGTCCCCCACAAGGGCTCAGTCTCCCCCTCAGCTCCAGCCACAGTGCAGGACCTGGCTGTAGTCCCTGCAATACCCCACTATATGATCAGGTGTGTGCATTAGATATACTGTGGCTCTTCTACCAGCGTGGTTGTTGTACTAGAATTCTGACTTTATGCTTTTATTTTCTTAGGGTGGTCCAGTGGAGATACTGCCTTTTCTGTACCTGGGCAGTGCCTACCATGCGTCTAGAAAGGACATGCTGGATATGCTGGGCATCACTGCTCTCATCAATGTATCGGCCAACTGCCCAAACCACTTTGAAGACTCGTTTCAGTACAAAAGCATCCCAGTGGAGGATAATCACAAAGCTGATATCAGCTCCTGGTTCAACGAGGCTATTGAGTTTATCGGTAAGTGTTTATAGCTGCCATTTTTGCTTTACAAATGACACAGTGAGAAATCTACCCCAGCTGTCACATCTAAGTATGTTGAAACAGAACAACGCTCCCCTCCCCCTTCTTCCTTGTTTACTTCCCGATTGAAAATTTGAAAAAGTTCCCTCCAAAACTGGCCAGCTGGATTGGCACCGGCTCCCCACTATTACAATAGTTGTTACATCATCCATCTTCAATGAGGGAAGCCCCATTTTCATTGTGAGGCAGAGTCTCCAAGTGTGTTCAGTGAGGTGGCTGGTGGGTTTGAATATCCCCCTCCACACACCACTCTTTGTTCTTGGGAACAAAAGGCAATTCCTCCCCAGTCACGGCCAGTCTTCCACCAGATCAATACCCCCCATGGGGGTCTGCTCCCTTCTTTTGTTTGCATTCAGGCACCCCCCTCAGGGAATTGGCTTCCAGCTCCCGCCATGCTCCCCTATTAACTCTGTTCCTGCCTCCTAATGGGCCTTCTTGAATATAAATAGGGACTGAATGTTTAGCAAGTAAATAGTTGAGTGCCTTCCTGTAACGGCCATTTTTGCATGTTTATGTCCTAATAAATATGTATAATTGACTAATCCTGCATACTGTTTCCCCACAGACTCTGTCAGGAATAAAGGAGGACGTGTGTTTGTGCACTGTCAGGCGGGCATCTCGCGCTCTGCCACCATCTGCCTGGCTTACTTGATGCGCACCAACCGTGTGAAGCTGGACGAAGCCTTTGAGTTCGTCAAACAGCGACGCAGTATCATCTCTCCAAACTTCAGCTTCATGGGTCAGCTGCTTCAGTTTGAGTCCCAGGTCCTGGCTTCATCCAGCTGCTCCTCAGAGGCGGGCAGCCCGGCCCTCGGCAACACGGGCACAGTCTTCAACTTCCCTGTGTCCATCCCTGTGCACTCGTCAGCGGCACAGCGCTCCTTCCTCCACAGCCCCATCACCACCTCCCCCAGCTGCTGAGACAGACTGTACCACGGACTAACAAGTGAACTGCTCTGTACTGAACTTTGGTAATACTGGATATTACTGAATAGTTTGGGAGCAGTTTATCTGACTGGCCAAATGTCTATATGTATATGTAGGCCTTAATATTTCATTGGGAGACATGATGGCGACCATCAGTGTTTTTGTTTAGTCCCCTGTAACAAAATGTGCGTTATGTCACAGTTGTAATGGCAAGGGGAACAGCTGAAGCTAACTTTTGGATTTACCTTAAGATAATCATTTTCTAATCATTTCTTCTAAAATTTGCCTCAGGAATAGTTGTTTTTTGGTCAATACTTTGTCCCTGCAGGTGGAACTGGCACACAGATCTTACCCAGCTTGGACTGTTAAAGTTACGTTTTGACGAACAATGAATGTATGTTTTGTTATTGTTGGTATGGCACTTGAATGCAAGGTCATTACTCCCATTACTGACAGGTCTTTGATATTATGTGCCCTAGCCAAGCTAAAACTGACCAATGAATACCTCATGTACTGTACTGTGTACTGTAATGCTGACGCACCCCCAAACACTAAAGGGGGTAAAGTTGTCAGAAGTGAGTGCGACATATTTATTTAACTAAAGTAATATATTTCTTTATCTATTTTTACATGTTTTTATACTATTGAATAAATCATTATGCTTTTGTACTGAAAATGTGATCTCTTTGTTTGATTATTCAAAAAATATAAATGCAGATAATGAAAAAAGGCACTAAACCAACGTGTACATATAATTACTGCCCCAGTCTATATATTTAGAGTACATCAACTTTATTGGAAATTACTAGCTCAAACAAGCACAGGATATATGGTAAAATGTGAATGTATAAGAAATAGATCATAAGTGTACACACATTACACTGCTGCCATTTGGATCAAATTTATGTGCAATGGAATCTGCCAAACGTAACCCTAGCATAAGGAGCATGACATCACGTATGGGAGGCTTTGTTTTGGCCTCGTTCTCATGTCATTGTGGCGAGCGCGGGAAGAAGCAGGGGGTCTACAGCAGCACCCACACCACCCTCCTCCCCTCTGCGGCCACAATAGCAACAGCTGCAAGGCGTTTGGGAAAAGTGTGATCACTAAAGAGAGGGCTCTGCGGAGGTCTTTTCCTTGTGTCCTTGTGCCACACACACCAATGGAAGGTGGAGATGTGACAGGGAAAGGAATATGTTTGGGTTGCAAATGAGTCAAAGCAAAGCAGTGTGAGCATCCAGAGTGTGAGAAAAAAAACCTGATAGGTCCCAAAGGATTGGAAAATGGAGTGGGAAAATTTTAATGAGTGATCTGGGCAAGTAGTTTTATTACTAGCCCATATAAGTCTGCCCTCTTGATTATGTTGGTTTATCAGAACATTCATTATTCTCTCACCAAGCTTTTGCTGGAAACGGAATGTATTAATAATAAATACAATGCCACAACAATTCCTTCTCGCATTACAGACAACCATAAATTCAGTAAGCCTTGTTGAAAATATAACTACTAATAATGCAGGTTAGCAGAAGAAGCAATAGTTGTAATAATACAATCTGACATTTGCATGCATTGCATTTATAGCAGCTATCATAGAATTTATAGGTTCTGCCCAGTTTTTACCACAATAGTTATTATTTGGCAAACACAAAGTAATGGCTGACATCGTCCTCTTTTGGTTGAAACCATTGAAACTTGCTCCTGGTTTCAGTGTCCAAGGGCAAAACTGACAACATAATCCATCTAAAGAGTTCTCAAAACAGTTCTATCACTTTCTGCCCCTTGTTTAGATCCGCGTTTTCAGACAGAAAAGGGAAAAAGAGAGGACCACCCAACTCTGAACACATGTGACAAGATTTACTATCATTTAAAACTTTATATTACAATTATCTGGTAGCAAGAAAAAATAAGTGAATAAATAACGATCCACAATCTTGTTACATAGCGTCCATTGTTTTTGTGCGCCCTCCTGTTCATCACGTCACCAGGTTCTCAAAGCAGTAGTGGTCTGTGGTGACATATGTCGGGACCCCACCCCCACCCCCAGCCACGATCTGCACCCCTTTTGTGTCCTCTCACTTCCTGTTGTCCCGTGTGCAGGAAAGCTGGAGTGAGTCTGCAAGCGTGTGAAAGTCGTCACCTTTTATGATACGATGAGGGGGGAGGACACTAGCAGTAGAGCGTTTAAGTGTGGCTGTCACTTATGGAACATGGAATAACAATGAGTGTATATCATATTAATAATAAAGGATACCACACTGTACTCGTTCCTTGACATTATACACATGTGACATAACCAATCCTGCAGCAGTGTGTTAAACTGACATTGGCAATTTACTGTTTCATTTCACAACTGTGCTCCAATTTTGACATCAAAGTCCATTTAATTTACAGGCTCCTATGAAAATAAATATCATAACTTGTCAACAACCATGTTGTAAAAGAACAGCAAACACACAAAGGCCATGCTTCCTGCAATGTTTGGTCGGTCAACATTTGACGAAATTAAGCATAATGACTTTAGAGGCTGCCATGGTGATATTCGGTGCCGTAGTGCTACAAACAAACTCACTGTTCAAAGCCACAACCGTACATATACCGTAAAGCAATACAGTCTTTACTCTATCAATTAAATACGTTTTAGAGACACACATATTTCTTTGGCAGTATAGAACATGGATGTGTTGACTAGATCTAGAAAAACAATAGTGGGAAAAAGAGTCTACATTATAATCTAAGTACAGTATTTCTGGCTCTTATTCACAGAGGGGTGTTACGGACGTCCATCATGGGTCGTTCTGCCTCCTCATCTGTGGCTATCAGCTCAGGTGACAACCACAAAGACAACACTGAAAATATTGAGGAGAGTTTCAACTGAAGAATGGCATGGTGCTCCCATAAACAAATGCGGGTGACAGAAGAAGGAGCTCAAAGTAGAGCTGCTGTTCCTCCAGGTTGAGAGAGGCCGGCTGGTGGCTGATGCTGGATGCTTCCTGGATATCTCTCTGGGAGGGGCTGGACACTCTGGGCTATGGGCTAATTTGCACCCGTTGTCCCACATTCACACTCACAAATATCCAGCCTCAGAAACCTAGGGATTGTGTTTGACCAGGCCATGTCTCTGGAGACACACTCCAAACAGCTCGTCCGTAACTGCTTTTATCACCTTAGGAACATTGCAAAAATCCGCATTATGTTATCAAAGAAGGACCTGGAAATGATCATTCATGCTTTTATTTCAACAAGACTTGACTATTGCAACTCTGTTTTTACATGCTTGAATAAGTATGCACTCAACCAACTTAAAATTGTTCAAAATTCTGCTGCTAGACTTTTAACCCTCGAAGGTGCCCCTCGAAGGTCCCATATCACTCCTGTTCTGTCTGTTCTTCATTGGCTCCCAGTAAAATTCAGGATTGATTTTAAGATTTTAGTGCTGACCTTCAGAGCCTTAAATGGTCAGGCCCCCCAGTACATCCTGAACCTTTTGAGCCTGTACTCCTCTGGCCGCACTCTCCGGTCCTCTGGCCAGAACCTGCTTGTGGTCCCTAAAACCCATTATAAGACTCGAGGGGACCTGTCTTTTCAGTCTGTTGCCCCCAGACTGTGAAACACCCTGCCCCTGTACCTACGTCTGGCCGACTCTGTGGACTCTTTTAAAAAAGGCTTGAAGACTTATTTATTTAAGAAAGCTTTTAATTGATTGGGTTCTCACTAATGTCACTTTTACGTACATGTGTGTAAATGTATCTTATATTGTTTCGTCTTTGTCCACTGTCCTGTACAGCACTTTGAGATTCTTATCTGTGAAAAGCACTTTATAAATAAACTTTACTTACTTACTTACTTACAAACACACACTCATTCACCCTGAACATGTACATGTTTATAGTGGTAGGGGAAACCGGAGTACCCGGCGGAAACCTGCGCAGACACAGGGAGAACATGCAAACTCCACTCAGAAAGGCCCTGTTCCAACCGGGATTCAAACACAGAACCTTCTGCTGAGAGGTGAGAGTGCTATCCACTCTCCAGCCATCGTGCCGTCTGAGCTGGAGGATCTGCTCAGACTGCTGCTCCTGCTGCTCCATCTGCTTCTACACCTGTTAACACTTAAGTCCCAAGTAGCCCAGAGTTAATTTTAAATAATCCAATCAGAGCAAAAATCATTAATTTGTGGAGTTGTGAAACCACTGGAATGACTTAACAGACCAGTGTCATCGTGCACTCTTTAATCTCCACAGATGAATCATGTTTGTTGACTATGATCCATGTGATTCTGGTTCACCTGAGATCCAAGTGTGAACCCTAAAAATGGATACATTAAAGAAACAAAACCAACACTTTGGCACACATAAACCTCCATGAGATTTAAAATGAGCCCATGATGTTATTCTCTTTCCTAACAAACACAAAAGTACTTTATTACAAGTGCTATTCCACAGACTGATGTCATGTGCCCCTCTCCTTGCCTGCTGTAAATCTGAAGGGGAACACTTCATGATAACAGCCCTCTGTGACATCCTCTGCTCCTGAACTTGCCCGCTGACACCTCTCTTAAATCTAATCCATCCATACTCCTAAAAAGATAATGTATCATGATTCTTGTCCCACATTTACAGAGAGTTGTTTGACTTCGAGATAATTCATATTTTGGAAACATCAGCTTCTACGAGGTCAGGCTTGAGCTGGATGACAGGAGCTGAGATAAGGGCAGATTTTCCCAGGATAACGTCAGTCTGGTATAGGCAGAGGAATGTTGGCAGGATATTACATACGCACTGAGTGGAGAGGCTTTTTCCTCGCCTGCAGGGCTCTTTCCTCCTTCTGAAAGCTGAAACAATGGATGAACTATACCTGTCTTTGGAGTGCAGACTGCCAGGAGTCGACGTGTATATAGATACAAGTAACCAGAGTGGACACAGAAGGACCGCAAGGAAAAGAGTAGATTATTCCGTTAAAGTATTTATTCAAGGCCTTTAAGAGGATGCATTGGC